CCTCATATGAAACATTTGATCTCACATCTAAAATGCTGTATATATAGAGCCAAATTAAAAGTATAAGCTTCACTGTCAAAATAAATACGTAGGGGAGTGTATACTGTATGCTATAAGACAGAAATTAATGGTAGCTTATGTTTTTTTTGCTCTGTACACTTTTTAAGAGGTAATGGACATTTGTTTCCGTCGTCATCCTGAAACAGTTTGCCAGCAGAGGCGACAGTGGTACATGTTGCCAGGAAGGAGAGCAGCCCTCAGACCTGTAGTCTTTCCCTGAGCCTCGACCCACCGCACTGCCAGAGCTGCATCTCCTACGAGACTCGGCTGCAGTGCCTGGTCTGTGGACACTTCTACTGTGACCAGTGCAGGGGCCGCATCGTTAACCAGGCTTTCAAGGACATCGAGGGCCTCTCGAGCTACCCCTGTCCTATGTGCAACTCTATCCGTCAGCTAGGAGGCACAGTGCCTGAACCACGGACCTGCAGTAACAGCCCTCCCAGTGTCTGTGGGCTGCAACGACCCCTCCTCCCCCACATCCACACTTCTCTGTGCTAATGCAGGTCATCAGGGAAGAGGAGGACTCTAGGCCTAGAAGTAGGACAGGAGAAAGGCACTTTGGGAGTCTGTTTTAGTGGAATAACAGACTTAATCAGAGATTCTGATTCTTTAGCAGAATTGACTTTTTCATGAGAAAGTGTGCTCCAGCAAACGACATTTTCATTCTTTCTTTCATAATGGAAGACATTGGAAGCAGTGAGAGTTGTTTTTGGCTGCTTTATTGCATTTTATGTATATAAATCGAAATACAAAGCTACACTGAATAAAAAAGTAACAATTTAAAACTATACATAAGGACTGTATAAAACAAACAAAGTTTATATAGATCAAATTTTGTAAAAATGGATTTATGAATCATGCACATCTTGATAAGCGAGAAGGCAGGGTAATAACAAAAAGATCGCAACCCGTGTTAAAAGGAATTACACCCAAACATTAGTTCCACGTTATATTAAGTGTCACTTAATAGCTCGGTTGGTAGAGCATGGTGCTTGCAACGCCAGGGTTGTGGGTTCGATTCCCACAGGGGACAAGTATGAAAATGTATGCACTCACTACTGAAAATCGCTCTGGATAAGAGTGTCTGCTAAATGACAAAAAAAGTAAAATATGTAGGTACACATTTCAACAATCTGTTTACAAATTACATTTGTAAAAGTGTTGGACTTGCAACAAACTGAAATTGATCGGGTTAAAACAGGTAGCAGTACTCTTACGACAATGTACCTGCCAATGTAATTACCATGTAAGATTGGTAGTTATACTTTATATAAAAGTGGGAACCAAACATTAAAAAACGTAATTCCTGAAGTACAAAGCAAACGTTTTTTTTTTTTTTGTTACAATGTATGTGATTAATGGTAGCCAGACAACTGCCGTAAAAACCATGGGTAACTCACCATACATTTATTTAAAAGAAAAATACAAAAGATATATATGATACGCACAAATAAGCATGATAGGAGAATACACCAACCAGGTTTTTGGCTAAAACGTCCTGGTACTTTTCAAGTTAACCTTGGCTTGGTAGGAAAAATAAAAACACTAACTGATACTGTCAATGAAAGAAGAAGCACTGTAAATGCTATCCAAGACTATAATTATGTCCATCTTAGGCATTCCGTCACATGGATATCTCGTCAACTTATTTTGTGCTGCTGTTACTATTGTGATATGATCACTTTCAGGAAAGTTAGGGCAAGTTAACTGAACCTTTTTTTCTGCTTCTAACCCCCCCCCCCCCCAAAAAAAAAAAAGAAAAAAGAAAATTGCATCAAGAGACAGGTAGTAAGTAGCATACAATGTTAAACCCAAAAAGACATTGGGAGTATGATACAACATTAGAGTGGTGTTTGGTGAATTTTATTCACATACATTTTTTACTGTAGCTGTCAGTGTGATGTGGCCATTGTGATATGACATAGGCATTTACTGGTATTCAGTGTGTACATGAGTGGATTCTCTGTGTGTTCTTATTCCTGAATAACTGAATACATTTGTTTTCTAATTGGCCTATTTCAAGCTAATTTCAGAGTAGCAGATCGCATTACTACATCACATTTCATACCGGTATGGTAAAGCCTCTGTGAAATTCCCCCAAACAACATACATTTAATAGAATTCTAGAAGGATCCACTGATATTTCATAATGTCTAAAAGGGCTGATTCTCCGGACCCAGATTAAGCCTTATCCTGGACTAAAAACCCTTTCCATGGTGCACTTATGATGGAGATTCTCCATTGATCATGTTTTTTAGTCCTTTTTATTTATCTATGGAAGCGTATAGCTGCCAAAACACTTCCATAATTTTTTTAAACCTTGAGAGTAACTTGTTGTTAGGGGGAAAGTGCAATCCATATATTCCTACAAACACTTAGGTTTGTGCACTGTGTATGCTATGTTTTTGTTTTGCACACATTTACATTTTACATTTAGTCATTTACAGACGCTCTAACCAGAGCGACTTACAGGAGCAATTAGGGTTAAGGGCCTTGCTCAAGGGAAACATTAACGTCATTAGCAGACGCCTTAGCCAGAGCGACTCAACAAAAATTGGTGCGTTCACATATAAGGCAGTGGGATAACCACTTTACAATTGGGGGTGGGGGGGGGGTAGAAGGAATACTTTATCCTATCCCAGGTATTCCTTAAAGAGGTGGGGTTTTTCAAATGTCTCGGAAGGTGTGTTGAGTGACTCCGCGGTCTGCGTCGTGAGGGAGATTGTTCCACATTGGGGTGCCAGAGCAGAGAACAGTTTTGAATGGGCTCTGAGCGTGGAGCTATGCTTCCGCGAGGAAGTGAGCCAGCAGGCCAGAGGGGATGAACGCATGTCACATTTTACACAGTTGTTTACACCAATGCGCTGGTCAATCCGGATATCAGTATCGTCTAAATTACTTTAAGTGTTAGCCAAATAATAGAGTTTAAAATAGCTTACTGACAGTAAATGATCCTGACTTAGAATGATAACGCAGAATGATGAGTCATTAAGGTGCATTAAGGCAATGAAAAAACACTGTTGGATAACTGACATTCTTGTGAATGATCCATTCTAACAAGCAAAGCAAGGCAAATCAGTTTGAGTCGGTGGAGCTGTTCTTTCTTCGCAAATAAGGCTGGCTATCACTTAAGATAGACTCTACAGATGTAGGATCTTAATTTTACATTTTCACAGCAAAACAATCCTGCAACAACAGGTTTTAAACATTTAGTCCATAATATTGCTTGATTGGTGATTTGGCTTTATCTGGCCAAAAGTAGGCTACATGAAAAGTGAAATACTATTAATATAACCATGTTTTCAATTAATTTATGTAAATCACAAAGCTCATCTGCATTTCCTGTGGGGCAGGAAAATTCTCAGCAACAAAAGAGTGATCAAATTAAGATCCAACATCTGCATATAAGATCTGTAATGTAAGAGCTATATATACAGTACCAGTCAAAAGTTGTCACACCTACTCATTCAAGGGTTTTTCTTTATTTTTACTATTTTCTACATTGTAGAATAATAGTGAAGACATCACTATTAATAATAATGAAATAACATATGGAATCATGAAGTAACCAAAAAAAACTGTTAAGCAAATCAAAATATATTTTATATTTGAGATTCTTCAAAGTAGCCACCCTTTGCCTTGATGACAGCTTTGCACACGCTTGGCATTCTCTCAACCAGCTTCACCTGGAATAATTTTCCAACAGTCTTGAAGGAGTTCCCACATATTCTGAGCACTTGTTGGCTGCTTTTCCTTCACTCTGCGGTCCAACTCATCCCAAACAATCTCAATTGGGTTGAGGTCGGGGGATTGTGGAGGCCAGGTCATCTGATGCAGCACTCCATCACTCTCCTTCTTGGTCAAATAGCCCTTACACAGCCTGGAGGTGTGTTGTGTCATTGTCCTGTTGAAAAACAAATGATAGTCCCACTAAGCCCAAACCAGATGGGATGGCGTATTGCTGCAGAATGCTGTAGTAGCCATGCTGGTTAAGAGTGCCTTGAATTCTAAATAAATCACTGACAGTGTCCCAGCAAATCACCCCCACACCTCCTCCTCCATGCTTCACGGTGGGAACCACAAATGCGGAGATCATCCATTCACCTACTCTGCGTCTCACAAAGACACGGCGGTTGGAACCAAAAATCTCAAATTTGGACCGTCTAATGTCCATTGCTCGTGTTTCTTGGCCCAAGCAAGTCTCTTCTTCTTATTGGTGCCCTTTAGTAGTGGTTTTCTTTGCAGCAATTCGACCATGAAGGCCTGATTCACGCAGTCTCCTCTGAACAGTTGATGTTGAGATGTGTCTGTTACTTGAACTCCGTGAAGCATTTATTTGGGCTGCAATCTGAGGTGCAGTTAACTCTAATGAACTTATCCTCTGCAGCAGAGGTAACTCTGGGTCTTCCTTTCCTGTGGCGGTCCTCATGAGAGCCAGTTTCATCATAGCACTTGATGGTTTTTGTGACTGCACTTGAAACTTTCAAAGTTCTTGAAATTTTCCGGATTGACTGACTTAAAGTAATGATGGACTGTCATTTCTCTTTGCTTATTTGAGCTGTACTTGCCATAATATGGACTTAGTCTTTTACCAAATAGGGCTATCTTCTGTATACCACCCCTACCTTGTCACAACACAACTGATTGGCTCAAACGCATTAAGAAGGAAAGAAATTCCACAAATTATCTTTTAACAAGGCACACCTGTTAATTGAAATGCATTCCAGGTGACTACCTAGTGAAGCTGGTTGAGAGAATGCCAAGAGTGTGCAAAGCTGTCATCAAGGCAAAGGGTGGCTACTTTGAAGAATCTCAAATATAAAATATACTTCCTTTGTTTAACACTACATGATTCCATATGTGTTATTTCATAGTTTTGATGTCTTCACTATTATTCTACAATGTAGAAAATACAAAAAATAAAGAAAAACCCTTGAATGAGTAGGTGTGTCCAAACTTTTGACTGGAACTGTATGTGCTTAAACTATGTCATGTTCAAATAACTTTCAAAAGTCCTTCATGCAGAAAATCTAGCGCGATAGATCATGTTTAAGCAACAGACATTGGTCTATTTTGGTGTGTAAGATCTTTCTGTGACAATATCCTTGAGATTATGTCCTGTACAATCATTAGCAAAGGCAGGTCCTGGGCTTTAATTCCACAAATGTGGTAGAGTTGTCTACAAGCATAGAAAAGGAATGAGAGGAATGGTAACAGTTCATTATTCCATGTGATTAACACAAACCCAATAATATGGCAGCACAAAATGACCTCAATTACTTAAACTTTTGTGTAACAGAATTCTTCAATCCTGGTCCTGAAGACCTATAGCATCTGCAAGATTTTGTTCTAAACCAGCGCTAACATATCTGATTCAACTAATCAACTTATTGTCAAGACTTTCATTAGCTTAATCAGGTGTATTAGCACTGGGCTGGAAAAATATCTAAGAACACTAACTGTTTTATCATTCAAAGCTCCTAGATGGCTGCCTTGATAGCCTCTATCCAATCAATGGTATTGGCCCCTGTGACTCATTCCATCTCTATGGCCAGATTCCAAACTGACAACCAACTTCCTTCCATCTGCCCTTGACTCCGAACGGACTGAATAGGTAAAAGCCATATGGTGGAAGCTATGCAGAGTTACTATAATGTTTCCACACCTATGCAGACTTTTGAGAATCACGAGGGGGAAGTCAATGTGGGAAGATAGAAGTGAATCAAGTTATGGGGATGTAATCCAGCGTATACCTAGCAGGTTGAAGGCAGGGTGGCATTGTTGGCTGCACCCAGTTGGCCAACAGCCAGCATCAGGATGTCCTTCTTTTCCTTGTGGAAGCGCAGCTCTCGGCCAGCCAGCCTGGCTTCCTCAAGTTCTCGATCTGTTGCCGCCACCTCCTGGGCGATGGTGCCAGCCACGCCTTGCTCCCGGTTCACCCAATCAGCAGCCATTTGGGTACGCATGTCATCATCCAGCGCCCGATGGGAGTAGTGAGCCAGCACTTCCTGTTAGGGGAAAGCAAATACCAAAATTTGTCAGGCCGAAATGGACCTTATTCACGCCACGGCCATGATCATTAGAAATACAGGCTAGCTGGGTAGGAAGCGGAAGTGCTCCATTAAATCATTATATTTTTCAATAGTACTGGTTTCCTAGCAGTGCAGGTTTGATTGAGTTCCAGATTATGTTGAATGATCCTGAAATGCCTGGATTTGAAACGACATGGAACCACAACTTTTGTGCACAATAAGCAAGCTGCATGGCCAGCAATAGCGTCACTTCACATGAGGAATGTGAGACGTCTGGGAGAGCTAATTACTCCAGTGGCTCAGCCCCTCTCCTTAACCATTGAGATGAAAGGCATAACGCCAGACCAAAGAGAATACCTAATCAGTCAAGGGACACACAGGGCGAGAGCACTCTGTAACCGTAGAAAAACAGAATACAACTGAGTCTTATCTATCCAAATCGTGGAGTTGCTGGCTGCTCTTCCTCCTCTTCGACTTCAGATCTGAATGGAGTAGATTGGCAAAAGCCAGGGTTGAGGCACAAATGTGATTATTGAGGTGAATTAATATTTATTTCATAAATTGGAAGTTGCCTGAATTGACCCCCATACTGCAACAACTATGTCAGAAAGCTGCCATTTTTATATTAGCAAACATGAAGGGTGAGGGATTTCATCTTAAAAGTTGTGTGCATAGAGCCTGAATATTTTTATGTTTGAGATCAGATGAAGTTAAAGAAAAATGCTTTAAACTCTAGTTTAAAAAAAGTACAAACTTTTATCAAACTAATCAAGGCTCATATTGATGCCTTAAATGTAGTTTCTGTATGTAAGATGCATGAGATAATGAGGACTGCACACAAACATTGAGGTCACCCGACTCTGCCTGGAACGGAATCCCTCCATAGGTATGAGGGATTTAATGGAAACTGTCAGACAAATTATTGTTTTTTGCTCTCCAATAAATCTTTAGTTTGATCAGTTATTCTGTTGCTGAAACTGAACAGAGGAGTTTAAGTTATGATTGAGTTATATTTTCCTTCCTTTACACCAGGTGAGTGTCACCACAATGACAGTTTACTTACCTCCTCCCTACAGGCTGACTCGTCAATGTTGGTTATCAGGCCTACAACCGTTATGTCATCAGCAAACTTGATGATGGAGTTGGTGTCGTACAAAGCCATGCAGTTGTGGGTGAACAGGGAGTACAGCAGAGGACGGATGATACACTCCTGGGTGGCCCCTGTATTAAGAGTCAGTGTGGACGAGGTGTTGCCAATCTTCACAGCCTGTGGCCTGCCCGTCAGGAAGTCCAGGATCCAGTTGCAGAGGGTAGTGTCAAGCTTGGAGGGAACAATAGTGTTGAATGCTGAACTGTAGTCAATTAACAGCATTCTCACATACAGTAGGTGTTCCTCTTGTACAGATGTGTTACGGCCATGTGAATTGTGATGGAAATGGCATCTTCCGTGGATCTGTTGGAGCGGTAGGCAAATTGGAGTGGGTCCAGTGTGCCTGGCATGCTGGCCTTGATGTGGGCCATGACCAGACTCTTGATGCACTTCATGATGGTTAATGGCGCCGGAGGGGATGGCTGCTGTTTTATGGACTCTTAACCAACCGTGCTATTTTGTGTGTTTTTTCCGCATTGTTTATAACTTATTTTGTACATGATGTTGCTGCTACCTTCTCTTATGACCGAAAAGAGCTTCTGGACATCAGAACAGCGATTACTCACCTTGAACTGGACAAATAATTGTTCTTTATTGAGTCGGACGAGAGGGATTTGCTCCAGACACCCGACAGGGCCCTCATCTCCGTCACTCGCAGTAGAAAGAAAAGGAGATATTGCGGAAGGAGATCGGGGTGCCTGGTAAGGAGCCGGCGACGAGTGGCTAATCTGCCTTTGCCATCGATACTATTAGCCAACTTACAATTGCTTGATAATAAAGTGGACGAACTACAGGCATGTATATCCTACCAACGGGACATTAAAAACTGTAACATCTTATGTTTCACAGAGTCGTTTCTGAACAAAGACATGAATAACATACAGCTGGCGGGTTATACACTGTATCGGCAGGATAGAACAGCAGCCTCTGGTAAGACAAGGGGTGGCGGTCTATGTATATTTGTAAACAACAGCTGGTGCACGATATCTAAGGAAGTCTTGAGGTTTTGCTCACCAGAGTTAGAGTATCTCATGATACTATCTACCAAGAGAGTTTTCATCTATATTCCTCGTAGCTGTCTATTTACCACCACAAACCGATGCTGGCACTAAGACCGCACTTAATGAACTGTATACGGCCATAAGCAAACAAGAAAACGCTCATCCAGAGGCGGCGCTTCTAGTGACCGGGGACTTTAATACAGGGAAACTTAAATCCGTTTTACCTCATTTCTACCAGCATGTTAAATGTGCAACCAGAGGGAAAAAACTCTAGACCACCTTTACTCCACACACAGAGACACGTACAAAGCTCTCCCTCGCCCTCCATTTGGCAAATCTGACCATAATTCTACCCTCCTGATTCCTGCTTACAAGCAAAAACTAAAGCAGGAAGCACCAGTGACTCGGGCAATAAAAAAATTGTCAGATGAAGCAGATGCTAAGCTACAGGACTGTTTTGCTAGCACAGACTGGAATATGTTCCGGGATTCTTCCGATGGCATTGAGGAGTACACCACATCAGTCAATGGCTTCATCAATAAGTGCATTGATGACGTCGTCCCCACAGTGACTGTACGTACATACCCCAACCAGAAGCCATGGATTACAAGCAACATTCGCACTGGGCTAAAGGGTAGAGATGCCGCTTTCAAGGAGTGGGACTCTAACCCGGAAGCTTATAAGAAATCCCGCTAAGCCCTCCGACGAACCATCAAACAGGCAAAGCGTCAATACAGGACTAAGATCGAATCGTACTACACCGGCTCCGACGCTCGTCGGATGTGGCAGGGCTTGCAAACTATTACAGACTACAAAGGGAAGCACAGCCGCGAGCTGCCCAGTGACACAAGCCTACCAGACGAGCTAAATTACTTCTATGCTCGCTTCGAGGCAAGTTACACTGAAACATGCATGAGAGCATCAGCTGTTCCGGACGACTGTGTGATCACGCTCTCCGTAGCCGATGTGAGCAAGACCTTTAAACAGGTCAACATTCACATGGCCGCAGGGCCAGAAGGATTACCAGGACGTGTACTCCGAGCATGCGCTGACAAATGACAAGTGTCTTCACTGACATTTTCAACCTCTCCCTGTCTGAATCTGTAATACCAACGTTTCAAGCAGACCACCATAGTCCCTGTGCCCAAGAACACTAAGGTAACCTGCCTAACGACGAGACAGCCTATAGGGAGGAGGTCAGAGACCTGGCCGTGTGGTGCCAGGACAACAACCTCTCCCTCAACGTGATCAAGACAAAGGAGATGATTGTGGACTACAGGAAAAAGAAGAGGACCGAGCACGCCCCCATTCTCATCGACAGGGCTGTAGTGGAGCAGGTTGAGAGCTTCAAGTTCCTTGGTGTCCAAATCACCAACAAACTAACATTGTCCAAGCACACCAAGACAGTTGTGAAGAGGGCACGACAAAACCTATTCCCCCTAAGGAGACTGAAAAGATTTGGCATGGGTCCTCAGATCCTCAAAAGGTTCTATAGCTGCACCATCGAGAGCATCCTGACTGGTTGCATCACTGCCTGGTATGGCAACTGCTCGGCCTCCAACCGCAAGGCACTACAGAGGGTAGTACGTACGGCCCAGTACATCTCTGGGGCCAAGCTTCCTGCCATCCAGGACCTCTATACCAGGCAGTGTCAGAGGAATGGCCTAAAAATTGTCAAAGACTCCAGCCACACTAGTCCATAGACTGTTCTCTCTACTACCGCACGGCAAGTGGTACCAGACCGCCAAGTCTAGGTCCAAGAGGCTTCTAAACAGCTTCTACCCCCAAGCCATAAGACTCCTGAACATCTAATCAAATGGCTACCCTGACTATTTGCATTGGCTACCCAGACTATTTGTTTGTGGCCCACCTGTTACCTTGCACTATTCTTGCCATTCTCCTTCGACCTCTCATCAACAAGCTGTTTTCGCCCACAGGACTGCCGCTGACTGGATGTTTTTGCTTCTCACACTATTCTCGGGAAAACCCTAGACACTGTCGTGCATGAAAAGCCCAGGAGGCCGGACGTTTCAGAGGAACTGGAACCGATGTGCCTGGCACCGATGATCATACCACGCTCAAAGTCGCTTAGATCACTTGTTTTGCCCATTCTAACATTCTATCGAACAGCAATTGAATGCCTCGATGCCTGTCTGCCTGCTTTATATAGCAAGCCACGGCCAAGTGACTCACTGTCTGTAGGAGCGAACCATTCTCGTGAACAGGGTGGTGTACCTAATAAACTGGCCACTAAGTGTATATTTACACACTATGAGGTTGGAATAATACTGTGAAATTGTGACAATGATGATAATGCCCTTTTAGTGTAAGAGCTGTTTGAAAAGACCGCATGACATTTCTGCCTGTTTTTGTGGGATGGAGTTTTGGCCTTCCATGGTAACATCACCAAGCGGTAAACTAGTTAGTAGACAAATAAGAAAGAGTTCCAAACCTCTCTGCCAATAACAGATAATTTTCAGTATTCCCCTCCACACTCAGACAGTCCAAGCTAAATTCTTGATTGAGAAATCGCCCTTTGCTAAGAAGCTATTTTGGTTTATTTTTTACCATTTTAATTGAAAACAATCACAGTAGGGTACTTAATTGTTACCCAGAAATAATTTGATACTGAGATAAAAACGGCTGCATTGGACCTTTAAATCAGTACTCTTATCCAAATGAGATCTTACTTGACGGGAGCATTGTCTCTCTCTCATGGCCTTCAGGCTTCCATTCCAGTGCAGTAGCTGAAAGACTGTCATCAATTCCTGAAAGAAAAACACAGTTCAGCATCGACAAGAAGCATTTTTGTGTGTGCCTGCACTGATGGAGAGCACAGTCTGGCAGAAAGCACAATTTCAAGTTTGATTGTCATCGCAAGAAAGCGAGTTATTAATGTCAAAGTCGCAAGATTTAAGGATTTTTTTAGGGGAAGCTAAGAAGGAGAAAGGTCTACAGCTAGCATTCATTTGTTTGCATTGTGTAGAACCCTAAATCATGAGCTGTAGTTTGGCAAAGACCAATCCATGCATTAGATCAGTGGATATGGATGACAAACAATGAAAGACTGGAGGCCAGCAATACAGTCCAAATTTGTTTGCCAGACCCACATGCTCTCATAGGCAATTCCTAGAACTCGTAAAACTGACTATCCTACCGATCCTTGACTTCGGCGATGTCATTTACAAAATAGCCTCCAACACTCTACTCAGCAAATTGGATGTAGTCTATCACAGTGTCATCCGTTTTGTCTCCAAAGCCCCATACACTACCCACCACTGTGACCTGTACGCTCTTGTTGGCTGGTCCTCACTACATGTTCGTCGTCAAACCCACTGGCTCCAGGCCATCTATAAATCACTGCTAGGCAAATTCCCTGCCTTATCTTAGCTCATTGGTCACCATAGCAGCACCCACCCGTAGACTGCGCTCCAGCAGGTATATCTCACTGGTCATTCCCAAAGCCAACACCTCCTTTGGCCGCCATTCCTTCCAGTTCTCTGCTGCCAATGACTGGAACGAACTGCAAAAATATCTGAAGCTGGAGACTCTTATCTCCCTCACTAACTTTAAGCATCAGTTGTCAGAGCACCTTACCGATCACTGCACCTGTACACAGCCCATCTGAAATTAGCCCAGCCAACTACCTCATCCCTATATTGTTATTTATTTTGCTCTTTTGCACCCCAGTATCTCTATTTGCACATAATCTCTTGCACATCTAGCATTCCAGTGTTAATACTAATTGTAATTAATTTGCACTATAGCCTATTTATTGCCTTACCTCCATAACTTGCTACATTTGCACACACTGTATATATATTTTCTGTTGTATTTTTGACTTTATGTTTTTTTTTACCCCATATGTAACTCTGTGTTTTTGGTTTTATCGCACTGCTTTGCTTTATCTTGGCCAGGTCGCAGTTGTAAATGAGAACTTGTTCTCAACTGGCTTACCTGGTTAAATAAAGGTTAAATAAAAAAAAATAAAAAAAAATTAAAACCCAGAGAATACAGTGCATTCGGAAAGTATTCAGACCCCTTTACTTTTCCCACATTTTGTTACGTTACAGCCTTATTCTAAAATGGATTAAATCAATATTTTCCCTCATTAATCTACACACAGTGCCCCATAAAGACAAAGCGAAAACAGGTTTTTAGAAAAGTTAGCACATTTATTAAAAATAAAAAACAGAAATACCTTACTTAAGTATTCAGACCCTTTGCTATGAGACTCGAAATTGAGCTCAGGTTTATGCTGTTTCCATTGATCATCCTTGAGATGTTTCTACAACTTGATTGGAGTCCACCTGTGGTAAATTCAATTGATTGGAAATGATTTGGAAAGGCACACACCTGTCTATATAAGGTCCCACAGTTGAATGTGCATGTCTGAGCAAAAACCAAGCCATGGGGTCAAAGGAATTGTCTGTAGAGCTCCAAGACAGGATTGTGTCAAGGCACAGATCTGGGGAAGGGTACCAAAACATTTCTGCAGCATTGAAGGTCCCCAAGAACACAGTGGCCTCCATCATTCTTAAATGGAAGAAGTTTGGAACCACAGAGACTCTTCCTAGAGCTGGCCGCCTGGCCAAATTGAGCAATCGGGGAGAAGGGCCTTGGTCAGGGAGGTGACCAAGGACACGATGGTCACTCTGAAGGAGCTCCAGAGTTCCTCTGTGGAGATGAGAGAATCTTCCAGAAGGACAACCATCTCTGCAGCACTCCACTAATCAGGCCTTTATGGTAGTGGCCAGACGGAAGCACATGACAGCCCGCTTGGAGTTTGCCAAAAGGCACCTAAAGGACTCTCAGACCATGAGAAACAAGATTCTCTGGTCTGATGAAACCAAGACTGAGCTCTTTGGCCTGAATGCCAAGCGTCACGTCTGGAGGAAACCTGGCACCATCCCTACGGTGAAGCATGGTGGTGGCAGCATCATGCTGTGGGGATGTTTTTCAGTGGCAGGAACTGGGAGACTAGTCAGGATCGAGTGAAAGATGAAAACCTGCTCCAGTGCACTCAGGACCTCAGACTGAGGCAAAGGTTCACCTTCCAACAGGACAACAACCCTAAGCACACAGCCAAGACAAGGCAGGAGTGGCTTCAGCACAAGTCTCTGAATGTCCTTGAGTGGCCCAGCCAGAGCCCGGACTTGAACCCGATCAAACATCTCTTGAGAGACCTGAAAATAGCTGTGCAGTGACGCTCCCCATCCAACCTGACAGAGCTTGAGAGGATCTGCAGAGAAGAATGGGAGAAACTCCTCAAATACAGGTGTGCCAAGCTTGTAGCGTCATACCCAAGAAGACTCGAGGCTGTAATCGCTGCCAAAGGTGCTTCAACAAAGTACTGAGTAAAGAGTCTGAATACTTATGTAAACGTTATATTTCAGCTTTTTATTTTTAATACAGTTGCAAAAATGTCTAAAAACCTGTTTTTGCTTTGTCATTATGGGGTATTGTGTGTAGATTGATGAGGAAAAATAACAATTTCATCCATTTTAGAATAAGGCTGTAATGTAACAAAATGTGGAAAAAGTCAAGGGGTCTGAATACTTTCCGAATGCACTGTACATGGTTACTGCTACTATTCTCTTCTTCACGCATGATGGTCCTCACATTCATGTAGTGGGTCTAATACTCTAGTCCTTGAAATCTACAGTTGATTCCTGATAAGTGCACTTTGGAGTCCAAACTCTGTTTAAGTGAGCTGCAGTTCTCAAGTCCCAGTTCAATTGATGTACATTATTTTATTTGCTCCCAATACTGGCATGCTCTGCTTTAGTTCATGCGGTCATGAGTCTTATACCGTTGCATTTATCAGGTTCGGCTGTATTCTTTTTTTCATTCAACCTGGGAAACCAGATTGGTATGTCATGAAGCAGAGGTGATTAAGCCAGCCAACTTTGATAAACACTCAGAAATAACTCCCGGTTTTCTTTATGAACTGGAAATACAAAGCTAAAGGAGAATATAGTTATCTGTCTGCTTTGTGTAATTACCCATAGTTAGTGGCAGTAACAGTCCTAAACTAGCCTCATATACAGTCCAACCTATTCATTTTCTTAAGTATCATTGCAGTTACATCCACTGTATCATTACAAGTAATCCAACTTTGTGTTCCTCCATCCTCTATTTACCTGAAACTCCAGCATTGACTTTCCTTTGTTGGACTCCAGCATGAAGCGAAACGCCCCGATTCCTGTGCTGGGGTTGTCTGCCTCTTCTCTGTTTCCCTGTAAAAGACAAGTAGAGTCCAATCATCCAGTCTTTTTCTCCTTAAGAGCCCAATCAGATTAAAATCTTACCCTCATAAGGACGTGACCTTTTAATTAATAAGAGCTACAGTAAAGATTATATTAAAGACCAGTGTTCACTGCTTCTGTTAATATCAGTCATTTTATCTGAAAAACACATTCAAAGGCACTCACATTAAAGGAGGCCAGCGCCTCACATACACTCTTCTCAATGAAGTCATCTGTGATGCGGCGGGAAGGATGCTCGTTGAAAACCGAGTTCATCAGAGCGATTTTGGCAGCACTACGTCTTGCCTCAGCCTTGGTTGGACAAAACTGCCGAAAGTAAAGCATATTTAGTACTTTTCTGAATGGTCCCCAAACAATATATGTAGCCTATGGCACAAATTATAACGTTATGACCCTGTGAGACATGGATACATGCAGTATCATATTTGTAAGATGGTTAAGTCAAATTATTGTATGGATCTTCTGGAAATCATACAGAAGTGCATTTTAATAGTGACATGTTTTTTTCTAAGTAATATCGTTGCTTCCACTTCATTGCTATTACCTCAAAGAAAGAAAGAAAGAAAGAAAGAAAGAAAGAAAGAAAGAAAGAAAGAAAGAAAGAAAGAAAGAAAGAAAGAAAGAAAGAAAGAAAGAAAGAAAGAAAGAAAGAAAGAGTTAGGAAGGATAGAGGAAAAGGAGGCTCTGTACAAATGGGATGAGGGGGAGAATGTGGGTAGGGGTTTCACGGCTCCTTCTAAGCTCAATGTTTGGCTCTAATAACAACCAGATGAGCCACCCACCAGATGAGTTTCCAACCACAGTATGCATTGCAGCCAGCCAATTCGAGGAGAGGAAGAAATGGCAAAACATGTCATCCTCCCATGGAATATTCTGCTAGGCACAATGCTCAAGTTGGCTAATATTTACAGTATGATTTAGAATTTAAAATAACATTTGAAAAAAAAGAGAATGTACATTAAAGCAGTCTTTACTATTTCAATAATACTGGTGGATGATTTAGCAAAGATAGGAATATGGCTTGTACTGTATGCAATTATGTATACAAGTTCATAGATGAGATAATTAACTTGTCAACAGTCAAATGTGGTTTCCTATATCCTGAATTCAGTTAAACTTGAATTTCATTAGATTTTTTTCATGCTAAGCCTGAATACAAGTAGGGTTCTACACCAGGGATCATCAACAAGACTCAGACCACCCGCGGGCCGCCAGTTGGAGAACACTGTCCTACACCTTGCTAACATGTTTTTGATGGACCCAACAGCCTAGAGTTATTGACGTGGCGGTGTGTTTTACAGATCCAGGGATTATTATTTGAGATTGGCCAATGGTTAGCTATTGAATATAATATTGGTTTGTAATCCTGATGGGAGACAGCAAACTGCTTTAATCTGGGATTCCCAGTATACATACTATACTATTCACCAAGAGCAGCCTGAAGTTAGAGACTTATCGCTCTCCATTTCTTTATTCTTCAGCTAACAGTACTTTTGTTTTGTATACTGCAATTCAGCTATTAGCTGTGAATGTGTACAAGCCCAACCAATAATAATAAAACCTTGATATATACAATACCAGTCAAAGGTTTGGACACACCTACTCATTCAAGCGTTTTTCTTTATTTTTACTATTTTCTACATTTCTATTGGTACTGTATACACACACACACTTCAACTGTTCTGCTCAAGTTGTAAACTATGTAAAACATGCAACGATGCCTTTTAACTTGATTAGTTGCTTAGGGCAGATTTATCAAGACGTTTGTTTAACACATTCTTGAAGTATTCAGATAAACAAGGGAAGAGTGTGAGCAGTAAGTCCCAGAAACATCCGGGTCATGTTCATAAGGCACCAAACGGAAGAAAATGGACTGAAACTTGGAGGGACTACCTGGACTTCTCTAATAAGAAACGCTAATTTTCATGATTCAGAGGAATCACATATACATACAGAAAATGTATGCACTCACTGTACAGTAAGTCTCTTTGGATAAAAGTGTCTGCTAAGTGTCATATGCTTCCAGCAGAATATGGGTGCACAGTTAGAAGTTTGCAAACAAAGACACTACATAAACATTGTTTTGCACAACATTTTGCTACAGTGTGCCCCAATAAACATGACCCAGGCCTAATTTTTCTCTTGCTCTCACTTGACATTTCTCAAGGCAGTCGAGAAGAGGCTCCCAGTGATTGACATTTGAGCCGAAAATCCGGGGCAATGTACTAAAGGAGATCAGGTCAGATTGGCAGAATTGATTTGGGTGAGAGCGTTTGTGCATGAGTAGAGTTGTATGGTCGGATAAATCATTAATGTTATGGCCATATAGGGAAGTTAGGCTAATTCATGAAGCTACACCAACATTTACATTTTAGTCATTTAGCAGACGCTCTTATCCAGAGCGACTTACAGTTAGTGAATACATCTTTTTTTTTATACTGGCCCCCCGTGGGAATGGAACCCACAACCCTGGCGTTGCAAACACCATGCTCTATCAACTGAGCTACATCCCTGCCGGCCATTCCCTCCCCTACCCTGGACGACGCTGGGCCAATTGTGCGCCGCCCATGAGTCTCCCGGTCGCGGCCGGCTGCGACAGAGCCTGGATTCGAACCAGGATCTCTAGTGGCACAGTTAGCACTGCGATGCAGTGCCTTAGACCACTGCGCCACTCAGGAGATAACCAACACCAACACAATGTCAAAACCATTATACTGTACTGTACTGTACATTATATTATACTGTACTGTAGTGGTATTAATAAATACAACTTTCAAGCACTTTCTCTAACTCAGAGATACTATACAGGGAGCCTTCCACCTGAGGCACGAACCAACGTTTTAGTGCCAACAACTATATTGAGAACGCCTACGGCCACAGGTTAGCTCACCTGGAAACTTCCAAAGCAGCTTCCCCCTGGAAGACTGACGTAGCAAACATAGGGTGGGTTGTTTGATGGGACCATCTCGTACACCACCAGCGCCCCATTCCTGAGGTCTGCCCCTCTTGACTGCTTCATCTGCCAGAATTCTTGCAAAGCTTCCACCACGTTCACTGGAGGAGACATAAAATGACACAGTTTAACGTTCACTGGAGGAGACATATAATGACACAGCTTAACGTTCACTGGAGGAGACATAAAATGACACAGCTTAACGTTCACTGGAGGAGACATAAAATGACACAGCTGAACGTTCACTGGAGGAGACATAAAATGACACAGCTTAACGTTCACTGGAGGAGACATAAAATGACACAGTTTAACGTTCCTATGCATGGTGTCTTAAAGGCTGACTAAGCGATATGACTTACACTACCATTCAAAAGTTTGGGGTCACTTAGAAATGTCCTTGTTTTCCATGAAAACATACATGAAATGAGTTTGAATAGGACATAGAGCAAAATGCATAGGAAATGTAGTTAATGACAAGGTTAGAAATAATGATTTTTAATAGAAATAATAATTGTGTCCTTCAAACTTTGCTTTCGTCAAAGAATCCTCCATTTGCAGCAATTATAGCCTTGCAGACCTTTGGCATTCTAGTTGTCCATTTGTTGAGGTAATCTGAAGAGATTTCACCCCATGCTTCCTGAAGCACCTCCCACAAATTGGATTGGCTTGATGGGCACTTCTTACGTACCATACGGTCAAGCTGCTCCCACAACAGCACAACAGGGTTGAGATCCAGTGACTGTGCTGGCCACTCCATTATAGACAGAATACCAGCTGACTGCTTCTTCCCTAAATAGTTAATGCATAGTTTGGAGCTGTGCTTTGGGTCATTGTTCTGAAGTAGGAGGAAATTGGCTCCAATCAAGCACCATCCACAGGGTATGGCATGGCGTTGCAAAATGGAGTGATAGCCTTCCTTCTTCAGGATCCCTTTTACCCTGTACAAATCTCCCACTTGACCACCACCATAGCACCCCCAGACCATCACATTGCCTCCACCATGCTTGACAGATGGCATCCAGCACTCCTCCAGCATCTTTTCATTTGGTCTGCGTCTCACAAATGTTATTCTTTGTGATCCGAACACTTCAAACTTCGATTTGTCTGTCCATAACACATTTTCCAATCTTCCTCTGTCCAGTCTCTGTGTTCTTTTGCCCATCTTAATATTTTCTTTTTATTGGCCAGTCTGAGATATGGCTTTGTATTTGCAACTCTGCCTAGAAAGTCAGCATCCCGGAGTCGCCTCTTCACTGTTGACGTTGAGACTGGTGTTTTGGGGGTACTATTTAATGAAGCTGCCAGTTGAGGACCTGTGAGGCGTCGGTTTCTCAAACTAGACACTCTAATGTATTTGTCCTCTTGCTCAGTTGTGCACCGGGGCCTCCCACTCCTCTTTCTATTCTGGTTAGAGCCAGTTTGCGCTGTTCTGTGAAGGGAGTAGTACACAGCTATGTACGAGATCTTCAGTTTCTTGGCAATTTCTCTCATGGAATAGCCTTCATTTCTCAGAACAAGAACAGACTGCCAAGTTTCAGAAGAAAGTTATTTGTTTGTGGACATTTTGAGCCTGTAATCGAACCCACAATTGCTGATGCTCCAGATATTCAACTAGTCTCAAGAAGGCCAGTTTTATTGCTTCTTTAATCAGCACAACAGTTTTCAGCTGTGCTAACATAATTGCAAAAGGGTTTTCTAATGATCAATTAGCCTTTTAAAATGATGAACTTGGATTAGCAAACACAACGTGCCATTGGAACACAGGACTGATGGTTGCTGATAATGGGCCTCTGTACGCCTATGTAGCTATTCCATTAAAAATCAGCCGTTTCCAGCTACAATAGCCATTTACAACATTAACAATGTCTACACTGTATTTCTGATCAATTTGATGTTATATTAATGGACAAAAAAATTGCCTTTCTTTCGAAAACAAGGACATTTCTAAGTGACTCCAAACTTTTGAACGGTAGTGTATTTTGATTTGTTTAACACTTTTTTGGTTACTACATGTTATTTCATAGTTTTGATGTCTTCACTATTATTCTACAATGTAAAAAATAGTAAAAATAAAGAAAAACCCTTGAATGAGTAGGTATGTCCAAACTTTTGACTGGTAGTGTATATGGATATAGCCAAAAACATCCTGTTTATTTTATAAGTAAACAACAAGGAACAACCCACTGACACACACTGAACTGAATGAAGCTGTCCGAATTGTGTTGACTTTCAACACCGTTCTAAAAGTCCACATAGACTCAAAATGAATAAAGAGTATGTAACATCAGAATAATTCTGTTAATGAAAATTGAACAGGTCTACCCACATTTAATTGATAGGGTTTTTTGGATGATAGTATGACATGTAGGCTAAGTCTAAAGCATTGTGGGTGACTTGAAGTGTCAAATTTCGAATGGAGTGCCCAAGTGCTATGTAAATTGAGCACACAACTGTATCCTGTAGTCATTAGGCTAGATATGACAAAAATATAGGCTATAATAAACTCAGTATGTTAATGTAGCCTACTGTTATAAACTGGATGGTCAGTTTTGGTGACACAATCTGCATGTTGCAGGCTATTTTAATCCCATTTGTTATCTTAATCACAGTTACCGTGGGTTACATTTGAACCACTACCAGGGAAAATCGGAGGACCTAAATTCTGCGCCGAATTTTTTCCAGGTTACCTCTGCCATAGCCCTGCGTATGCTTCGCAAAGCTCCGAACAACAGCCTCCACCGCCTCCTTCAAGACTGCCGGGTTCCCTGGATTACATAGACCGAATCCAGCCATCCCTGTTCCGAGCCCTGCACTCCCAATAGTGCCGTGAAGACTGTGGAGTTGAAGCGGCGGGGGCGGCCCGGAAGGAGCGAATAGAGAGGCCGGGGGAGGCAGTAGAGGTGCGGTTGGCACTGTAACCCCGGGCCGGAGAGAGGACCGTAGGGTCCCAGTCGATCCAGCTCCAAATCCTATCCCTGGTTGAAGTCGCTGAGGGCGGATAGATTCCATTGTAGAAGCGTAAACGTCAACAGTATGGGGTAATAGAGAAAATTCGTGATGAAAATACTTCTTTCCTCGCTGATATTGTAAAGGAAGATGAAAACAACGAAACTAAAAAGATAGTGATCAATAAAAAACGCTGTTTTGCTCACGGAGAAAAATGTATCCTGCCAATCCCGTTAGTCTTTGTGAGGATTAGGCTGCTTGGCTGTCAATCTTGGAGTAGGGGCGGAGAAATCAGAGACGTGTAAATGGGGAGCTGTGAATGGGCCATTTTCTTGAACCAAAACTGTAACGGAATTATGTTGACCTGCATAACAATACATGCTCTACAAGAGATTAGGCTAATGTGATTTAAATTGTTATACTTTAGAAAAATAGTAGCTACAAAAATAATTATTCAAAACTTTTTAAAAGTTATTTGGTAAATGACCGTGACAGCACAGTGGTAGATACCTTTAAGTTATACTACTCTAACCATAAAAGCAACACACACTATCCATCCATCCATCCCCCAACCACCCACCCACACACCCACTCATCCATCCATAAATCAATCTTCCTAACTAGTCATCTTCACGATATCTAGTCTAGATCACCTGGACATCTAAATATAACACAGACCCTAGACCAGGGATCATCAACTAGATCCAGCTGTGGGACTATTTTTTCTTGAGCGGATGGTTGGGGGCAATGTTCCCTCTAATTTGTTTGGGCACTGAGCAGATTTCAGGTCTACTGAGCGCAAACTTGAACTTTGTAAAAATTCTGTGCAACTTCCAGAACGTGTTTACTGTGAACACTGAGGCTGTACCCGCTTTAAGTTACAGTTTTAACAGTGGCCAAGTAGGCTACTGTGGCTATTTGATCATAATGTAGGCCTACCAGAGTGGCCTACCATCAAAACAATGGAGAAAATGCATCCCATAACATTTTAACATGGAAATAGCTGTTCTAGCATTCAGCCTACAGTAGCAGCCAATGTGTGGTGTTCAATGTAGGCCTACATTCCATGAGACTTTTGAAAATAAAACATGCAGGGCTTGACATTAACCTGATTATCCACTTGTCCTTCAGACAAGGAGGTGACTGAAAATGTTGTTGTGTTTGATGCAAGAAACCACTTTACAAAATAAAATCCATTATTATTCCCATACCATTATTAAAGAGAATCAGACAAATTATCCTACCCTCTGCCTATTGGCTACTTAGCTTATTCAAGCCTGTCTCAAAATACAACACTGCTCCTTCAAGATAAAAAAAAAAAGCTCTTTACCTGACTCGATTTTCAAAGATGTCTAGAACTGTACACGTTTTGTGCTCTTGTAGGAAGCAAGACTACAAATTATCTATAACTGGGCTAATAACTCACTAACTAGCAAAGGATATGAATAATATGTGCACACAAGGCTACATGCAGCTCTTGCTTTGATCTCAAAACAAATGCATCTACTCGCGACAGTTCATAGTAAATGGCACAGATCCATATATGGCAATGGTCTATTTGCATATAGGCCTACTGAAGCTCTGATTGTTTATGCCACACCGGTCTGTGTAGAGTATGGGCTGAGTCATGGGTGTCAATGCAATAGATTCCTACTCCGATGCGTTCTACCTACAACAAAATACACTGAGTGTACAAAACATTAGGAACATGACAGACTGACCAGGTGAAAGCTATGATCCCTGCTAAATCCACTTCAATCAGTGTAGATGAAGGGAAGGAGACAGGTTAAATAAAAATATTTAAGCCTTGAGACAATTCAGACATGGATTGTGTATGTGTGCCATTCAGAAGGTGAATGGGCAAGACAAAATATTTAAGTGCCTTTGAACAGGGTATGGTAGTAGGTGTCAGGCGCACCGGGTTGAGTGTGTCAAGAACTGCAACGCTGCTGAGTTTTTCACGCTCAACAGTTTCCCATGTGTATCAAGAATGGTCCAACTTGACACAACTGTGGGAAGCATTGGAGTCAACATGGGCCAGCATCCCTGTGCAACGCTTTTAATACCTTGTAGAGTCCATGCCCCAACGAATTGAGGCTGTTCTGATGGCAAAGGGGGGTGCAACTCAATATTAGGAAGGTGTTCCTAATGTTTTGTAAAATAAGTGTACGTTAGGTTAGGTTACATTATGAATGGAATATTATACGAATTGGATGATGTACCCCAAATCAAATACAATTTTATTGGTAACATACACAAATCAAAAGTATTTATTTATAAAGCCCTTTTTACATCAGCAGATGTCACAAAGTGCTCCTACAGAAACCCAGCCTAAAACCCCAAACAGCAAGCAATGCAGATGTAGAAGCACGATGGCTAGGAAAAACTCCCTAGAAAGGTAGGAACCTAGGAAGAAACCTAGAGAGGAACCCGGCTCTATTTAGGCTCTATTTAGCAGATGTTATTGCGGGTGTAGCGAAATGCAAAATATAAGGAGCTCCACCGAGCTTCACTATCCTCACAATAAACAATCACACACAAAGACAAGGGGGCAGAGGGAACACTTATACAGGTACTGATGAGGGGATATAAACCAGGTGTGTGTAATAAACAAGACAAAACAAATGGAATGATGAGATTAGGAGCAGCAGTGGCTAGAATGCCGGTGACGACGAACGCCGAAGCCTGCCCGAACAAGGAGAGGAGGCAACCTCGGAGGAAGTTGTGACAGTACCCCCCCCCCCCCCCCCCCTTGATGCGCAGCTCCAGCAGCGCGCCGACACCGGCCTCGGGGACGACCAGGAGCATGCGGAGCAGGGTGAATTGGATGGCGACGGTGGAAATCCTGCAACAGCGAGGAATCGAGGATATCCCTCAACGGGACCCAGCACCGCTCCTCCGGACCGTACCCCTCCCACTCCACGAGGTAATGAAGGCCCCCCACCCGACGCCTTAAAATCCAGGATGGAACGGATGGAGTATGCCGGGGCCCCCTCGATGTCCAGAGACCGGGGCCTCACGTTGGCCTTCTGGCGACGCACGGCTCGTTGGAGGTGGACGTGAGCAGCGTTCCACGTCTCCTCTGATGCAACGGTGCCAGAACCGGCTGATAACCTAAAACACATTGAAATGGCGTTAGGTTAGTGGAGGAGTGGCAGAGAGAGTTCTGGGCATATTCGGTCCATGGCAAGAACACCGACCACTCCCCCAGGCGGTCCTGGCAGTAGGACCACAGGAACCTACCCACATCCTGATTCACCCGTTCCACCTGCCCTGGGGTGAAAACCAGAGGTCAGGCTGACCGAGACCCCCAGGTCTCGGTCAGCCTTTGGAAAAGCGGTCCACAATGACCAGGATGGTGGTGTTACCTTGAGAGAGGGGAAGATCAGTAAGGAAGTCAATACACAAGTGGGACCATGGCCATTGTGGAACTGGTAAGGGCTGTAACTTACCCGCTGGGAGGTGCCTAGGTGCCTTACTCTGGGCGCACACCGAGCAAGAGGAGACATAGACCCTCACGTCCTTAGCCAAGGTAGGCCACCAGTACTTTCCGGTCAGGCAGTGCACTGTACGACCGATACCTGGGTGACCAGAGGAGGGGGACGTGTGTGCCCAATAGATCAGACGGTCACGGACAAGAGAAGGCACGTACTGCAGCCCAGCTGGACACTGAGGTGGAGATGGCTCTGTGCGTAACGCCCACTCTATGTCCGCGTCCATCGCCCATACTACCGGTGCCACAATGCAGGAGTCCGGGAGTATGGGGGTACATTCTTTGTACCTGGGATGTAAGATTGGGTAAAATCAAACCGGGCGAAGAATAAGAACCCAACTGGCCTGGCAAGGGTTCAACCTCCTCGCTGCCCGTATGTACTCCAGGTTACGGTGGTCCGTCCAGATGAGGAAAGGGTGTTTCGCCCCCTCAAGCCAGTGCCTCCACACGGTCAGGGCTCTGACAACAGCCAACAGCTCCCGATCACCAACGTCGTAGTTCTGCTACGCCGGGCTGAGCTTCTTGGAGAAGAAGGCACAGGTGCGGAACTTAGGGGGCGTGCCCCAGCGTTGAGATAGGACAGCGCCTATCCCTACCTCGGATGCATCCACCTCCACTACAAATGGTAGTGATGGATTGGAATGGGCCAGTACCGGAGCTGAGGTGAACAGAACCCTCAGGTTACTGAAGGCCCTGTCAGCCTCAGCAGACCAGCGGAGCCGGGACGGCCCACCCTTCAACAGTGATGTGATGGGAGATGCGACCTTGCCAAAGCCCCGGATAAATCTCCTATAGTAATTGGCAAAGCCAATTGGGGGGGTAGAACAGGCAGGCCCTTTCCAGGACGTCCTCTAGAAGCCAGCAGGTTGTCCAACCGGATGGCCATGTCCACCAGTTGATCAAAAGACAACGTGTTGTCCTGGCAGGCTAGCCTCCTTCGGATATCCTCTCGTAGATGGCACCGGAAGTGGTCGATGAGGGCGCGCGCTCGTTCCATCCGGACCCAGCCGCTAGAGTCCGAAACTCCAGGGCGAAGTCCTGCGCGGTCCTCGTCCCCTGCCTCAGGTGAACCAGCCGCTTGACTGCCCGAAAGAGGCGAGCAAACTCCCCGTAGTTGTCCAACGCGGCTGCTCCTTCACTCCAGACCGCGTTGGCCCACTCCAGGGCTTTCTCCGAGAGGCAGGAGATGAGGGCGGACACCTTCTCCCGCTCCGATGGAGCTGGTCTGATGGTCGAGAAGTATAATTCCATTTGTAGGAGGAATCCCTGGCAGAGGGCAGCTGTCCCGTCAAAATCCTGTGGTCGAGATATGTGAATCCCTCTGGGTGCTGGGGTGTGGGTGGCTGGATCCGGTCGCTCAGCTGGTCCCGAAAGATCGGGTCCTCTCCTCTCCAGGCATTGGACGACCTGGAGAACCCGATCCATCGCTTCTCCCAAGCTGGTTAGCATAGTCGAATGCTCCCGGACCTGTGCCACGATCCCAGGCAGGTGCTCCTCTCCTGCTGACTCCATGTTTCAGGTGTGTGATTCTGTGATGGGTGAGTTGAAGGAGTCAGCTGCAGGAGGGTAAATCACAGAATAACAGGATTTATTCTGGAAAACAGAGTTACGCAGTCATGCGTAAAAACAGTCCAGTGCGCAAAACAGGCGCACTGGAACCAACAAGGCACAAGGGGAAAACAACCCGGCGATACTAAATATAAGGAGCTCCACCGAGCTTCACTATCCTTAC